ACAAAACAAGCTTATTCCAGTGGTTTCGGTGAAGATGAGTTATAAAAATGTAACAAAACTCGAGTAGCATTTGGCCATTTTCAGATTGTGAAAGTAGCTCTGAAAGAAAAACGGCCCAGACCCCTGATTTAGAAGATTGTTTTGTTAAATCTGCGATAAGTTTTCCGTGTTTGTTCAGGCTTTAGGTGTTCACTTTGAACTTACATTGGGATATGAGAGGGGCCACATCTCTTCTCTTCAGTAAATGTAAAGGACTGTCTTTCCTTCTGACAGTGCAAGTTGATTACTCCTATGAAATTAGCTTCCGCTAAGCTTCTGTCTTCAGTCTGTAGGTTCAGGACTTTTGTCTGATTGCTGCAAAACAAACACAATATTATTAATGACTACAAATGTTTTAAACTCTCAACGACCATCTCCACGTCGAGACTTCGAGGCTTCACACAGGCTAAGCCAAGATTCAACTTGTCTGCTGGATTCCTTAGATAGAGAACTTTACTAATTGGCTTTTATGTATGTGAATGTTCCTGTAAAGTGCCCTGAGACAACTTTGTTGTGATTTGGCGCTATATAAATAAACTGAATCTTATTGGTCCATATTTTCTTAACGGAACACTTCGCTCTCAGACTGCAGGTTTACTTGTTGTTCCTAGAGTTTCTAAAAGTAGAATGGGAGGTAGATCTTTCCAAGTTTCTACCTTTAAGACCAGGCTTAAGATTTTCCTTTTTGATAAATCCTATAGTTAGGGTGGGCTTGGGTTTCCTGAGCTACCCCTTAGTTCTGCTGTTATAGGCTTAGACTGTTGGAGGACAAACTGACCACATCTCCTCACTCTGCCGCCGTCTTTACTCAGTTTATGCTTATTTCTATAAATTAACGTGTTTTCTTTGTTTTTCTTCACAGATAAACTACATTTCAACCACGGAAACTACACCTGGATAATGGAAACTACACCTGGACCATAGAAACTACAGCTTTAACATAGAAACTACACCTGGACCATATAAACTACAGCTTTATCATAGAAACTACACCTGGATCATAGAAACAACACCTGGACCATAGAAACTACAGCTTTATCATATAAACTATACCTGGATCATAGAAACAACACCTGGACTATAGAAACTACAACTGAACCATAGAAACTACACCTGGACCATAGAAACTACAGCTTTATCATAGAAACTACACCTGGATCATAGAAACTACAGCTTTATCATAGAAACTACACCTGGATCATAGAAACTACACCTGGACCATAGAAACTACAGCTTTATCATAGAAACTACACCTGGATCATAGAAACAACACCTGGACTATAGAAACTACAACTGAACCACAGAAACAACACCTGGATCATAGAAAATAGATCTGGACAAAATAATTTACAATTGAACCATAGAAGCTGTACCTGAACTATAGAAACTACATTGGGACCATAGAAACAACACCTGGATTGTTAGAAATTATATCTGAACAAAATAAACAGCACTTGAATCATAGAGACTACACCTGGACAATAGAAACAATGCCTTGACCATAGAAACTACACCTTAACCATAGAAACAACACTTTGACCATAGAAAATAGATCTGGCCAAAATAAACTATATCTGGACCATAGAAACTACAACTGGAACATAGAAGTTACAACTGGAACATAGAAGTTACACCTGGACCATAGAAACTACATCTGAACCAAATAAACTAAAATGTAACTATATAAATTACACCTGGAATATAGAAAATACATGTGGACCATAGAAACTACATCTGGAATATAAAAACTACACCTGGACCATAGGGACTACAATCGAACCACTTCCTGTTTGTGTCACTTTCCTGTCCTTCCTGGCTGAGGCAAATGACCTTTTTTTGTATGACCTCTTTATGAACTGGCGCTATGCAACTAACACAAAACAAATCTATTAAAACCAAACAGATCAAAGGGTAAACATGTTTTAAACCAGATTTAAATTTGTGCTCACCAGATGAGCGACGCATCGGTCTCCAAATTGTCACTTCTTAGACTCGATGTGCCGCTGTCTTTATCATCTCCAGTCTCCTAAAGCAAACAAAGAAACAATATTACTGCACACTCAGAAACAAACAAATTTAATCCACAAATCTCTGGTTTTACAACCTTCAGTTAAACCGTGAAAACCCGTGTCTCACTACTTACATCTAAAGTTTCACTGCCCGTTATCTCCATGTACACCAGCTTGGCGGCTTCCTCTTTAGCTTCTTTCTTTGTTTTCCCCGAGGCAGCTGGGTATTCCTTATCGCCAACCACAAACTTACACGAGCTAACAATAACAACACGAACAGCTCAATTAATTTCTAAAGTTAAATTATAAACAAAAGTGGCTACAGGGAAGGAAACCCACTGGATTGAGTAAACTGGTCCAAGTGTAGTCGTCTCCTCGGGTCTGAAGGTCACCATGTTTTTCTCGCTGTATTCATTGAGCCAAAACGTGTAGATGAAAGATTTTAGCTGAAGTCTAGTGGGAGAAGCTTCTGCTGCATGTTCTGCCTGCTAAAAAAAAAAAAAAAAGATGCAAACCGTGCATGAATGCAAATGTTTACCGTATTTTTCAGATTATAAGGCGCATTAAGCGAAACAAAACAGTCAGATAAGTCAAACTTTATTCAACTCATTCACAATACAGTCCCTCTCTACTTTGCGGCTCATTTATCGCAGACCCGCTCTATCGCGGTTTTTCAAAATAACATTGGACATGACACACAAATGGCTGATTGATGGATGAGTCGCACAATAGGAATGTAATTTTTTTTTTTACAATAAATTATTTTTAATTATTTAGCACCTCCTGCATCTTTTTACAGCCCACACTACAGGATAAACTTCCCGCTGCAGCTGATCAGCTGATCTCTGCAGAGCGGAGAAGTGGGCGTGGCTAAGAGTGCTTGCAGGTGGCTGAGAGCCTAAACATCCTCTCTCTCTCTCTTACTCTCTCTCTCAAAAAACGATACAGTCTTACAGAATCAGCGGGTATATCCAGCAGGTGTTCTAAGGCATTTTTAGCAGCATTCTGTTTAGCTTCTTTCTTGTTCTTCCCCACACCTTCAGGGTAGGCCTGGCCATTAATCACCGCTCTTATTGTGAATCTGAAAAGTGACAAAAAAAAAAAAAAAACTGTTGATTCACAAAAAACACAGGAAGGTAAATATGTATTTGATCCCTTACAACCAAACCAGAATTCTGACTCCCAAAATCTGGTTATGTACTGTACCCATGAGGCACACAGCTTACACCCAATCAATTGGTCCAATTTCAAACACTCCTGATTCCAACTCTTTTTATAAATAAAGCCGATCTGTCCACAGAATCAGTTTCTTCCTTTCCAACCTCTCCACCGCCAGTGGCAAAACCAAAAATCTGTCAAAGTATGTCAC